TGTTTGGACCTTATAAATGTCATGTCTTGAATTGATATATTATAAATCAATCTAGGCTTAAAGCATTTTAAGCCTAAATGATAGTTTGTCCTTGTAGATATTTTGGTTCCATTAATTAAATGTACTTTGTATATTTTCATAGGTCATTAATTTACTATACTCTCGCTTTGTCATAGCGACTGTTAAATTATGAGATGAGAAAAGAAACAGTAGCAAATCAATGTAAAAATATTTATATATTGTGATTGATGCCTTTCGTACCAAATCAACAAACATGAAGTCATCATACTTGGGACAAATAAAAACGTATATAGTTTTCATGATATAAAATACCCTTATCCACATGAACTCCAGAAGAGTGATAAAATATTTGTCCAGAAGATTTGCTCCAGTGACAAGTTAGCAAATGTATACCTACAAAATATCCATAAGATTGATATGTGTATGTTAAGAAAAATATTGTTTTCAAGGGGAGCAACAAAATATAAAATATAAGTGTAATTTTATTGGTCCAGATGATCATGAGAAATATGATAAATTCTAATGACAATCCTAAAGATTGTACTATATCCCCTCTCTACACTCTATTGAAATAATGACTTTATTTTAAGTTATGTGGAACTTGAAGATTGTTATCTTCAGGAGGAGATGGGGTGTACATCTACTCGAATAAATCCTAAGATTGGACTTAAAATCTGGAAGATTGGGTTAAAGACTATCAGTTGTACTCTTTTGCAACATATGAATGCACACATATACCATGTACTCTTTTCCTCACTAGTTTGTTTTTCCCATTGGATTTTTCTAGTGTGGTTTTTAACGAGACATGAGTATGATATAGTAATGCCAATGGAAAAAGTTGCAAATAAATACTTAAATAGACGAACCCCGAAATCTTGAAGATTATGCCTTGAAGGCATATGGTTGTATTTTTTTCCCTTAACTAAGTTTTTCCCACAAGATTTTCTTAAGTTAAGGGTTTTAATGAGGCAACCAGTACAATATATGATTTTACAAATATCATGTACTCTTTTCTTCAACTAGATCTTTCCCACGTGGTTTTACTAGTGAAGTTTTTAACGAGGCATGAATGTATTTAAATATACTACACATATACTTTGTACTCTTTTCATGTCTAGGTTTTTCCCACGGGGTTTTTCCTGACAAGTTTTTAATGAGGCAAGATTATGGTTATATAATGTCCAAGGGAAGTTTTATAAATGATTTTAATATGAACATTATTAATGACATTACTTGTGATAGTTTGTAATGGTCATCCTATTTATTTCCTTCTTTTAGTATTGTATTATATATGTGTAAGGATTGGTTGAATAAAGATGACCTAGTGATTTCCTGTCTCTATTTTTCTATGTTCTCTGTATTATCATGTTCATTCTATTTTTGATTCTATTGTTTGTAAGTTCAGGGGTTAGGAGTTAATGGCCAACGGGCATAAACAATTACAACAAATAATAATAATGGTTGTTGTTGTTGACTTGTCGTATAGTAAATAACAAAAATATATAAGGATAAATTAGGTATTACCAAATTAAAATATTCCTAAGAATTTAAGAATAGCCTAATACCAAAGTCCCTTTCATGGAATAGTTATTCCTCTTGCAAGGAGAGTAGATCATTCCTGAAAATACTATTACCAAGAGAATGACTTACCAAATGATAGTATATGACTATTTCCAAGAATATTATTCTATTTCGTAAATCAAACATGTTATTACTGTATTACCAAAGTAAACTACTAAGTTGGTCCGTGTAAATTAGGGTTGATGAAGTAATTTTTATATTTGTGACTTTTTTATTTTTTTATTTTTTTTTTTTTTTAAAACAAACTCTCCTTCATTGTCAACCATGGATAATGACTGATTTGGGGTGTGAACATGGAAACCATGGACAAGGAGTCAAGGACAAATTAAAGGGCATGCCTTGTTAGGTTATTGTTTTTTTTTTTAAAGGTAAACAATTGTATTAAAATCAAACGATTAAATGTTCAATACAAGAAGGAATTGTAGAAAACCAACTAAGGTGATTAGACAAAGAACTAGTAGCTCGAGCTAAAGCATGAACGAGTTTATTCACTGATCAACTAACATATTCAATAGACACGGTTTCAAAATGATGTTTCAAGGACCGGAAATTATTAACCACACAACCTGCATAGGAATAATCCGGTAAAACATTATTAATAAACTTGCAAACCATTTGGCAGTCTGATCGAAGCACAATATTACGCCATCCTTGCTCTTAAGGACAAAACTACGTTCTTTGCTGGACTGGCAGTTCAGCCACGTAATTCATCCTTCAAGCTTTTTTGAACGAATTTGACCCGCTCCTTGAGTTTAGAGCTATAGAGTTGACTTGCTTCTCACTAACAGCAGAATCATAAGCTTCATCACTCGATCTAAACCAAAATAGAATCTATATTGGATATAAATCCTTCACTCCGGAAAGGTAGGTTCCATACCGACAAGACCTCCTACCCTAGAATCAACTCATTTTACACCAACTAAAGTTGAACTTCATCACTAAGGTAGAGTTGGGTAGAGCCCTAATGTAACTTGCTCGAGAGTCCAAGACAACGCCTCCTTAATCGCAATGGATTCTACTAAATGTGGATCACTTATACACCGAACATGCCCACTCCTTGCTACCACAAAGCCTTCGCTACTATCCAGTATCACAATACCATAAGAGCCATTAGTAGCACGTACCCTGCGCAAGAGAGGCATCAACCTCCACCACAAAAGTCGAAGACGGGAAGTTCGGAATGGAGGTGACCACTACAGCCGGAGCACTAGTAGACTGTCCAGTCAGATTCCCAGGCGTACCCATATTGAGAAAATGCATGCCATTGCGAAGTTGGTGAATTTTGGAGGAATTTTGAGCCGCCACAATTCTTTCCAAGCTGAGAAGGAGGCGCCAGTGTTGGTTGTTTTCATTCAGTAAACGATAGCCTTTTCAGACAGAATATGGTCCCCTAATATCTCCTCGCCAACACCACATATCTGCAGCCTCGCTTGATATCGGGAGAGAAAGGATTAAATCTGCATCCTTGGGAATAAACCTTTGTCGAACTGCTTCAATATTCCAGCTAGAGGTGATAGGATCAATCAATACGTTTGCATTCAGATTATCAATATCAATCGGCGTATGAACATATGGATCTTTGTCTGCGAGCCACGACTGCTACCAAATTCTTGTTGATCTGTCATCGCCAATTCTCCGAATTAATAAATCACTACATCAAGCTTAATCTACAGTTATACCTAGTTGCCAACTCAGCAAATTACTTAATACTAATTTGTTAAAAGTATTAATTACACTTTCCAAAGATCAAATGTTAAACAAGAAGCTTTATTTTTTTCTAATTTTTGGTGACGAAAAAAACCCATAATAACTATACTATAGTATATACTAGGTAAACCTCGCTTTATAACTCTAACCACAACTTTAATTGTCAATAGCTGATCGATTCAAACCAAGAAGACTAATAAATTATTCCTATTGAGAGTCAAACCTATAACCATTTAGTTACTAAGTCAACAACTTGGCTAAAATTACTCCCAAATTTGTTTCTATTTGATGATGGAATTGAATGGTTTCAAATACTTCAAAAGTTTATTTGATTATCTTGCCATTCTCATTTTTATTTATTTTATCTATAATAAAAATGCACAAATGGTACATGAAAAATAAATACTCCGTAATTTTATTGGGAACGATCAATTAATCAGATTTTTTTGTGTCAAATAACACAGCATAAAAAGAGCAATTCCCACTGGCACGAGAGGATCTCAATTTTGGAATGACATGACATACGGACATACCTTATTTCCAAGAAAACAATGACATGACATTATATACCCTGTTTCCAAGATTACTTTTATGTCCAATCGTAAAAAGTAGTGCTACTTGTCCATGTTGATTGGGGAACATAAAGGTGAGCCCTCATTCCCCAAATTAGATCTTGCCCCACCACGAAAGATATTCCTAATATTCCCCAATAAGCACCACCCCAAATATGATTGTGTTCTATTTGCATAATTTTGCAACATATATATAAGGTCCATTTCAAATGTGAACCATTACTATCAAGTGATTCTGTAAATCTCTACACACTGTTAAGATGTGAGATTGGATGGCCAAAAACTAAGGAGTGGTTCAGTGATGTATCTTGTACAGTTGTGCAATTGTTAATGGTGCAATGATGTGATACATTGATGTAATGATGTATATTTACGAGATCAAAATCATTATAAATCACAAAATCAAACAAGGTCAATAGTACATAATAATACACATGATCACATAATAGTATTGGTTCAAATTTGAAACTAAACATGCCATAATTAACCATCGAGATTAAATACTGGTTAAAAAGATAGCAATGAAATTATGATAATTTTGCATATTACTGAAAACCTAAATGTATTTTCAAAGCCTAAAATGCATTATTTTAACACTTGGTGCGTCAATTCTACACTTGCAAACTAAAATCTGTTATTGTTGAAACTTAAAGTGCGTCATTCTAAAAGCTTAAGGTGCATATTTTAGAACTTACAAACCATACATATGTAATTGATGCATCTACACGTCACTTTAACACTTAAGGTGCTTAATTTTACAACTTAAGGTGCATCTTTGTAACACTTAAAATGCATCATTTTTAAAACTAAAAGTGCGCCATTTTTACACTTAGCTTCTGCCTTGAGTTTCCTTTTTTAAATTCTCATTGATTTGAACTATTGATCTTGATCAAAGGCTCAAATCTCACTACATGTTTCACCTAAGACTCTTCACACCAGATTACAACCCTCTACACACACACACACACACACACACACACACACACACACACACATATATATATATATATATATATATATATATATATATATATATATATATATATATATATATATATATATATATATATATTATAAAACCTATTCCTATCCTTTTAAAATTACCCTCACAAAAGATTATCATAAATGCAAGATTTTAATAGTAACTAAAAATAAATTGTTCCGTGTTGAGCCTGTTTTAACATACCATTTCATTTGGACAATGGATATTTTGACTCTCAAGCTTTTATCAACCAATTTAGAAAGTGCTGTTAATCTATACTCTTTAATATATATATATATATATATATATATATATATATATATTAATGAGTCTACTTCCAACTCGCTTCTCAATTTCCATGTTTTGGTTCTGTAGTAATTTTAGAGGGATTTTCCCTCCCTTAAACTTTTGCTGCCCGTCCTCTTGTGGCTGTGCACTGCATAATAACATGTAGAGAATCAGCTCATTAGCATTCCTGAAACACGCATTTTCTGGTAAAAGCATGTTAAAGGATGAAGGCAATACCATGCAGTCTTGGAAGCTTGCAAATTCAAAACCTCTCGTATAACAAAAAAAAAAAACAAAAAAACAAAAAACAAAAAAACAAAAAAAAAACAAAACAAAAAAAACAAAACAAAAAAAAAAAACAAAACAAAACAAAACAAACAAAAAAACAAACAATATAGCCTGCAATTTGTCCATTAATTGGGCCAACCCGGTGCGAACCGGATTATTCTGGTATGGTACAAGCTTAAAGGTGTCTCTTAGGGCATACTCAGAACACCTCGTGGTCTAACCCAAAAAAAAAAAAAAAAAAACACACACATATTGCACCACGACAAGCAATTCCATGATGTGAGCCTTGCCAAATAAACACGCGAAAGGGTCATACCTATATAGATCTTTTCACCTGTGCAAAAACCCTTTCAATTGATCTGACTGACTATCATTGCCTTTTTGAGTTGATCTTTTGAGCCACAATACACCCTGTAAATTGGATACTTTATTTACCCATTTAAAGAAGAAAATGTTGGATAACTTTACCAAAAAGTTTGATGCCATCCACCAGTGATTAATGATGTGACATAATCCTGCAATGAATAATATAGAAATCAGTTGGACGACAATAAATAGGTAATAAATTGAACAGCTACTTCCAATTGCCCACCAAAAAATGACAGCACCAGACCACTTGCCTACAACATGGCTGCTTAGATATGAAAAGGACAAATATAGAGGCTTTAAATATTTAAAAGGTGTAGATATCAAGATATGGGCGTGCAGCGACTAAAACTATTAATGGGCACCCAAACTATGAGCACAAGTTATTACAAGCATCTTAAATAGTGCAGTCCTAATCCCAGGTTCTAAAGAGAAGATTATTTTGCTTTCAAAATAAAAAAATAAAAAAATTGAAGATTATTTTGTACCCACAAATTAAACCTGGGAATATAATAACTACAGAATACACAATGGTATAATAAAAATTGTAAAAAGAGTCCACACGGGCTTAGCTGGTTCAGTAGGCAGTATTTGGGAGAAAAATTGTAAAAAGAGTAAAAGATATGTAACTATAATATGAACATTCTCACACCTGCTCATTTCCCGATGCCAGACTGAACTCTTCACCAGCATGCACATAATTGGTTTCTACGGAAATCAAGGCTTGATTTGTAACGGGAACACTCTGCTGATCTTCAAATATTGAACAGTGATCACATCTCAAGGCTGAAACGCAGAAATTTGAAACAAGTTGTTATTGTATAAATCTTACAACAGCAGTTTTTGGAATTTCTAATACCAAGTGAGGATACATCTGAACTACCTTACTGGCCAATTGCTGATTCAAACTCTCAAGGACCTGAGTACCTAGGTTAAAACTGATCCAGGTAAACATTCAGGAGTTGGTTTCAAAAGAATTAAATCAATACAAAACATGGAAAAAAATTCCATCAGAAACTGATTTACATTGTCTAGATAATGAAAATTATCGTGAAAACGGGCCTTGATGTCTATTAACATGAGAATTAAAGAAACAATTTACACATCATCCATGGAACACTAATGGTAGATGGTGCTTAGTCAAAATTTTCCATTAATATATCCCAAGACAACCATTTTGGTACTCCATGTTCTAGCGACATTCAAAGCATTTGTACTTCATAATCACCTTAAGATAAATACATAAGAAATCTTGTAGACTCGGGTTCAAGTGAATCCAACTTCAGAGAATTGATCAATATATGCATATAATCCCCTCCTTAGATCCCCTCATATCTGCAACAGAACAATACGGACTTGTTAACAAAAGCTATATGACAAGAAAATTTTAGAGTATTGTTCCAAACATAACTACAAATTCAATTGAATAAAATACCCATACCTTAATACCAATTCACTTTGCTGATGAAATCCGATGTAAGAATGGTAGCCTGCTGCTTGATGCACCAGCTCTGCTGCTCTGCCCACGAGCAATATTTCCAGCTTCAGTTGAATCCTCTTGTCTAGGGGGACTACTCTTAAAGGCATCAGCAAGTGAAATAGATGGAGCAGGTGCATTGCTCGCAATCTGTTAAACATCCAATAAATAGTATAAACAGAGATTGGATAGTGGCTACTTACAATAAAATAGAACAAATAATAATAGACAGTAATAATCAGGCAGAAACCCATATGTTCCTTCATAGTTTTATCTTAATGATGGTGTATCAAAACAAGTTGATTGGGTGCATAAAAATTAACAGATATAGGGAGAGACTACATATAAGTTACGTATGTAATTGCATAGAACTCACATTTTTTGTAGTCAGGTTATCAGAATTGAGATTTTGAACAGCCCTAGGCTTAAAGGGAATGTGACCAGCAGGACGTGCAAAACTAGTTGATCCACCTTGTGCCGTAGTTTCAACTGAATGGAGATTTGAACACCATTAGAAACATAACCTTAGTAAGCAATTATGTATCAAGCTAACCCAAGAGGAAAATGGGGCAAAGAGTTGTAAATTTAGACGATCAAAATAGAATGGAAAAGAAACTAGAGCAGTAAGCCAGACAACTAGTTTCACTATGAACAGTACCAACATGCTCTAAACATCTTCAAACTATTACTCTGTCCTTATGTTTGGTTCAATTAACAAGGCTTGACTCAAACTATTTACAATTCATTTTTTGTAATATTTAATTTAGAATCAGTAAATCAAATTTATATAATTAGAAACTACATTAAATGTTCTATTAGACACAAAAAATCTAAATTTAAAATTTATAAGAAAATGTTGAAAATAAATAAATAAATGGAGGATTGACAAATGAATAGTAAATAGGACAAGTAAAATAGGACAAAAGGACTATTAACATATCTCATCTCATTATTTATGTGACCAAAAATATGAAGAAACCCAGTGCTACTAAGCATATCCATATCTTAATCTTATCTATACTATGATAAATGACAAGGATTTAAATCTTGTGAAATCACACCAATTGCAAAAACAAAGGGCACAGCACTGGGTTGATAAACAGTCCTCTTTCAATGTCTTCTCCAACTTGAACCGATAAACATTTAATGGTCACAGTTTTGTATAATGAACAAAATTTTAAAACCCCTATCAATGTTGAAGGTACTTGTTCTATAGCAGTTGGAACAATCACATATCTAACTCACAACAATGTGCACAAGTTACCTTGCCGTGTGTTTAAATCCTTTGGCAATGCTCGTTTACTGGTCACTGCCGAAATTGGCTGTGGATGCTGACAAGTTTAACAAGAAAGCAATAGAACATACAACCATTGTTAGAAAGAAAAGAAAATAGGAGAAATAAAAAATTCAACAAGTGTGGAAGGGAAAATATTGGATGCCCTTAAAGTAAGAATATGATTATTTTTTATAGAAAACAAAGTCTTGAAGGTACTAACAGGTGATTGAAGCTGTGCCTTTGACTTCTGCGACTGCTGATACTTCAAAATGGTCCAATCAAACACGTAATCAGATTCATATCCTGCCAGTAGGCAAGAAAGGAAGTCAGAATACTCATAGTGTTATCATGCACCTTGAGAAATATGGGTTGGATTAAGTATATTAACTATATGAACTTGGGCCAAAAGTATTTGCCCGTATAGTCATATTAGTGGTGTCAGCAAGAATGGCCTTCCTGGTTGTTTCCCATGTGAAGAAGAAACTTTTGGCAAGTCAATTGGCTCCCCAAATTATTTTCCGAGGAAAGTTCTCTTTTATTCATATTACTATCATGCTCTCTTTCCTTAAAGATTCTAACATGTTTTTATATTTTCATGTACCATCTCATCATTCTCACTGACACTTTGTTTCTTCACTACCCACCACTCATTGTGGCAAAGAAATTGACGTATTGAAAGACGTTTTATTTTACCATTGCATGAATGCATAAAATTCCAGTCACATCTAACCAGCCATCATAGAATAAAGGGAAAACAGCACTTTTAGCCCCTGAATTGTCACTTTATGAAATTTGGTCCCAGTAAGTTAATCTAAACAAATTTACCCCCTTAACCAGTAAGTTCATAATGTTGCACTTTTAATCGCTAGTGTTATATAATTGTCAAACTCCATTAACATATGAGGTTATTTTTATCATTTAGAATCAATATTCACGATTAAAAATGATGTTCACATAGAGGGAATGAGACTTTAACCATGGATATTGATTCTAAATGACAAAAATAACCTCATAAAAAAGAGTTTGCTAACGGAGTTTGATAATTATATAATACCAGAGACTGAAAGTGCAACATAATAGACAATAAAGGGACTAAATCTGTTAAAATCAATTAACAAAAGACCAAATTCCCAAAAGTGAAACAATTCAGTGCCAAAAGTGGTTTTTTCCCTAGAATAAACATTTATCACGTAATTATTGTATATTTTACATATAAACTAAATTGATCTTTAGATGACTGCATTACTCTTGAGCGTAACAGAAAATAATAACATATCTAGATAGTAATATACAGAAAATTCTTATGCAAGTGATAGAGACATTCTGACATATGTGATCAAATGAACATTAATGTTTACTAAATATTGCTCTGAGATATACATTAAAATATTGTGATAGTGACATACTGAGACATGATATCAAACTTTCAGTGATAACTAATCATTGCTTTGAACATAGAACTCCCACCTTCACGAGTAAATAATTCACGAAACAAGCGCTTCAGGAATCCATAATCAGGTCGCTGATCAAATGACAAGGAGTGACAATAGTGCATATATGACGCAAACTCCACTGGATGAGTTTTGCACAGAACCTGACGAGAGCATCAATTTAGATTAATTCTAACTCTAGAGTATGAAATCCTGCCACGGCTTATTATCTCCTAAGGTATATTTACAATTTCAATTGATTTAGTACTGTAATACATACATACATTCATATATATGTATATGCCAATAAAAAGTTAACTGATATAATTTACAAGCATGAGTAAATTGTTAATAGTAAAAAGTTTTAAAGGATCAAGTGCTTCAAATTCATTCATTAGCTGTATGGAACTGTCAATGGTTTAAACAAGTCCTTTTCCAATGTTATACCTCAATTGGCGTTGATAACTTTTTCTCACATATTTTGTCATATTTTTGCTTCTTCGTTGCAGCTTTTAGACCCTGCCATGGAAGGCTACATGAGAAAATCCATTATTAATTTCATTAAATCAGAAAATCTTTTCATAAATAATAAATGCCACAGACACTACAAGTACTAATCAATTTGAATATGCAAGTGCAAAATATGAATTACAAATAAACATACCTCCCTCTCAGGAAGTACAAGAGAACATAGCCAAGAGACTCCAAATCATCCCGCCGACTTTGTTCTATACATATGAAACCAAGAGAAAACTATTGCTCAATACCAAAGAGAAGAAATATTATTGAAGCATCAAATAGTTACCTATTCCCAAATGAGTGTTGCAACTTGCATATCGTGCAGTCCCAGTGAGGTTTTTGTTATCTCTGTGGCATCATAGATGGTAGAAGAAAGATTGCATTAAAATCATTTGGTAGAATATGATTTTCAGCATATATCTATAAATGCCACAATTTTGAAACACCAAAAAGTGTCAGAGTTCATTGCTTAAAGTGATGGAGGGATTTCTCTATACTGTTGAAGCACTGTCCATTGCTTCAATTATGCAAATCCTACAGTCAAGCCACAAAATATTAAGAATCAACTTATATCCCTAAAGTTCAGCTAGAATTTTAGTCAAAGTTTCCTCACAATAAATCGATGTTTCAGGTATATAATTTCTTAAAGTAACACTTTTGGATTCTGTTTATTGCCATTGTATTGATTTTATATTTTATATAGATAGATTCATTTTGTTCAAAATTTCAGTCAAACCTACTTTATATAAAATGAAGCAAATATAATTTACTTATGTTATTCTAGACAAAACTATTCTGGGATGCAAAATTCAAATTACTGATCCAGTTTCACAATAGTTTATGGTTCATTTTTACAACTTTAAAAAGCAGAGAATTCACTTTATGCTGTAAGTAATAGGGGGCTATTGCACTCTAAAAAGTAAGGCCACTTCATGCAGTCTCAGTTGGGCTTCTCTCTATTACCTCATATAAGATAGAAGTCCAGTAACAACAACTCCCCAATGAAATTATATGCAGAATATGACTTTCAACATACTACAAATATGACACAATTTTTAAATACCTAAAAGTTGACAAAGCGCAGCCACATACACATCTAAATGAGTTAGAAATATGATTACAACATAAAGGGTATGAAGATGGCAATCTTACACTGTAATGGTATTTTTGAAACTAGATGCATTAAATTGCAATAAATAACCAAGAACTACCACTGTAACATCAAACAATCCAGAGTAAAGAGAGTAAACACCATATGATATAAACATTCCAGGAACATCTTAAGCATTGAGGTGATTACACATTTTATCAATGCACCTGTAAGGAATGTGCCTGTTGGTAGTGGGATCACGATATCTTTTGGCAAGTCCAAAATCAATGACGTAGACCTGAATTATTAACAAGAAATCAGAAAAGAAACTGCATATTATCCATGTTATATCAATTATGTAGTTCTGAACAATAGTGTCACCTGATTTGCCTTCCTTCCAAGGCCCATGAGAAAGTTATCTGGTTTGATGTCTCTGTGCAAAAATCCCTTTGAATGTAAATACTCTATTCTGGTAATCTAGGAGCAAGGAGAAAAAGGTAGAGGCTCAATTAATCATTCTTTGAGACTCATGTCATAAACGTCACAATATCACTCTTTCTTAAGAATAAGGACACTTCACAATATCAATCTTTTATGCTTATCAAAAGCCAAAGATGCAAAAGTAAATACCAGGACATAACACATTCAGTCCCTATTACCACCAAAGTTCAATCAATATAACATGAAATTAACAGCTAGGCACAGATAATCAGTACCTTCTATTGCTAAAGCATTAGTAAATGGTTGAGAAAAACAATCAAACAGAAAACACAAAAAGGTGAAACTTTGATTACCATCTGATCAGCCAACATAAGAACAGTTTTTAGAGAGAATTTCCTCCCACAGTACACAAAAAGGTCTTCAAGACTGGGTCCAAGCAAATCGATAACAAGGACATTATCATTTCCATCAACCCCACACCATTTTATGTTAGGAATTCCACCTGAAATCAACAGCACACAGCATAATTAATTATGAAAAAGTAAGTGCCCATACAAAATAACAGAGATCACCAAACAATTACCTCCTCCCTGAAGTATATTATACAGCTTAGCCTCGTAAAGCAACTGGGGATGATTAGTCTGCCTATTTTCCTACAACCACATGAAAAACAGTCAGATAATGATATATTTTTATGAACATAACTGCTAAACTGCCAGGCATTTCTTTCAGTCTTCCTTTACCAACTATTTTAATGAGAAACGTTTGGTCCTTGAATACAGTAATGACACTTCAAAAGACTTCTCCCTCAAGGTTTAATAGGCAGAAAAGCATCACCTCCAACAAACTTTGATTACCGACAAAATTCTGTCCTTTATACAGTCACCAATTACTAACACAGATACATGACAGTATGAACTAATCGCAAACACATTCTTCTTTTAAGCTCCAATTTCTAATATAATTCACAAAAGATGACAGTTCTACATAAACTACCATACTGATTTGAGTGATTTCCCAGCCAAAAATTAAAATCATTCCTTCACACACAGCTAAATACTCTGAAAAGTGGATTATATGGCCATACTGCCAAAGAGAGCATACCATCTTAACAGCAACGATCTCAAAGGTATCGATATGAGTAGCTGAAAACAAATAAATAAAAACAGAAATGTCAACCATCAGAAATTCCATAGAAAAGATGAACAAACAAACAACAACGGAAAGAAACAGCACAGAAGCAGAAAATAGAGACCCAGATGGATTTCTCCAAAGGAACCGCTCCCGATCTTCCGACCCAGCTTATACTTGTCGCCAACTATTCTCTCCATCTGCGCATATAGATGTGCGTATATACGCAGATACGCGGGTGTGTATGTATATATGTGCGGGTGTATAGCAGAAGACGCAGAGATGGATTCGATTAACTATTGAGATTGAATAGCAACTAGAGACCTAGGGTTAGTGAAAGTTTTCAGCTTTCTGCCTGAAATTTCCACGAGAGAGACAAAGAGGACTAAAAAAATAAAATAATACAGCGTCGGGAAGACGAAATCACGAAATTATGGACGCGTCTTGTTTCTCATTTTTAGTTTTTCATAGAAAAAGAAAAAACGTAATCCGGAACTATTACTCTATCCGTTCTATTTTATTTATCGAGTTAATTTCTGGTCCTTTGACTATATTAATTTTTTAAAATTAATTCTCGATTTTTAATTTGAACACTTTAGTCCCTTAACTTTTAATTTATTTCCAATTGAAGTTCTTTCGTCAGATTATGGTAAATAAGACTTTAAATCAAAAGGTAAAGTAGTCATATCACCTGCCTAATATATAATTTTTCGTATTTCTCCCTTGTATGCGCGACTTTGGACATCAGATTAACTTAATTGATTAATCCCTAAATCCACTCGAAGAACAAAATTTCATTATGGATTAAGCAATTAAGTGAATCTGATGTCCGAAGTCGCGTATACAAGGAATAAATATGAAGAATTATACATTACGCAAATGAAATGACGACTTTACCCTTTCATTTAAAGTTTACATTTTCGTAATCGGACGAAAGGATCTCAATTGGAAAGAAATTGAAAGTCAAGGGACGTAAATTGTCCAAATCAAATCGAAGATTAATTTTGGAAAATCAATATAGTCGAAGGACCATTGCTGGAATTAACTATTTATTTATCTGACTAGCACTCACATTGCACGAATAGTTTATTTATGTATATTTTTAAATTAGTGTTTCAGAAGTTATTAAAGATCATTTAGTATCTTAGCGTATATCAATGTAAAATTATCTAATTTTGTAGGGAAAATGGTCAAATAGACCCATAAACTTTACTCAAATGTGCAATTAGGCGCTTGAACTTAAAAAAGTTTAATTAAACACTCGAACTTGTCATTTTGAGTCAAATAAGCCTAATTTACCAGTAACCACAAACAAACAAACAAACAAAAAACAAAAACAAAAACAAAAAAAAAATCCATCATAACGGCAATTTTCAATCATCTTCTTCCAGAGAAGACGATGTCTGATCGTCTTCTCCACTGGAGAAAGTGACCTGATCTGGTCGCCTTTCTCCGGTTGAGAAGGCCTGATTTTTTTTTTATTTGTATCGACGTCAGAATTTTTTATTCGCCAGAATATCGCCGAAATTTTAAATAACATGTTATTCCAGGTGAATAACTGGCTAATAGGTTTAGACGCCCCAAAATAATAAGTTCGAGTGTTTAATTGAACATTTTTAAAATTTAAGGGCCTAATTGAACTTTTGAGTAAAGTTCAAGGGTCTATTTAACCCTTTTTCTCATTTTTTTTTATTATAAATGTAAATATTTCAAGAATGCATAATTATGACGTGTGACATAACTTTTCATAAAATTAACTGGTGCAATAGCAGTTTTAGAGGAAAACACAACGGATAGTACCTAAGCATAATTTTTGCAACACAAAACCTATTAACTGGTGTGATCCATGCTTCCTATTGTTGTCACTTCTGCCAGAAATGAATTCTTGATTTAATATAGTCTCATGGTGTGCTTCAATGCAATTTTAGTGCCTTGGTGTAATGCATATTCAAAAATAATAAATAGTTAACGAAATATTCTGTTACTAAAGTATACACTAACGGAATGCAAGAGTATTTAAGAAAAGTAATAATGATATAATAGAGAGTAAAGTATGAAAAATAATATAAAAATATAAAATTCAAAATAATATGAATCATTCGTCTCAGCCAACAATTACACCAACCCTTTTTAAGTTCCTGATAGGACCTAACTTTATTGACTAAAGTTATTTTTAATTCAATTTTTTATAATATATTAAATTTTATATTACTATATACAACTAGTTTTTGCACCCATGCAATGCACCGCCATAGATAAAAGTTATATAATTAAACACTATAATATAATAACAAAAAAATATAATAAGAGAATATGTTTAAAACAAATTATTTAATAACAATTAACATTGCAATTATATTACACATTATTGAAAAAAAAAAAAAAGAATTTGTATACGACATGTTTAGTCGTACTTGCAAATTGTCCATTATCCCCACGTTAGTTTTTTCACGCGCATTGTGCAAATGTGATAATGTCCAATTATTATTTTTAAATAAGTAATTCAAAGTATATCAATACAATATTATATATGAGATGTTCATGAATAGATAATTAAATGTTGAATTTGTTTGTTTAAATCAGTAATTCAAAGTATATAGATGCAAAATAATATATAAGAGATTATAATTATCACTAAAATAAAGGGAAAATTGCATCTTTGGTCCCTGAGTTACACCCAAGTCCCAACTCAATCCCTGAGTTATGACCGTATTCATTTTTAGTCCATCAGTTATGAACAAAGTGGTGCATTTGGTCCCCGACCGTTAAAACTGACGGAAAAATTTAAAAATATTTAAAATTTGAGGGGTAAAGTAGGAAATTCACATTTTATTATCTTTCTTATATCAAAACCACTTTCACAACATTATTTCTTACTTCTTAGCCTCTTATTTCAAGATTGTTCAATTCTAAAAGCATTTCAGTAACTTTAGTATGACTTGTTAGAAACCTGACTCTCGTATAACAAATTTAAGATTTAGCACAAACAAAAAAACACTTGATCATTGTCTTCATACGTGTGAAAAACACTATCCTATCAATTTACAATTTTCTTTACTAAGCAACAAAGGTAATCAAACCAGAACTTTTGAGATACAAAATAATGTCAAATTTCTCAGATTGCTTTTATGATAAATTCACCAACGAAATAAACCAAGTTCTAAACGTCAAAGGGATGCTATCGCCACAGCTACCCACACTAGGATGACTACAAGGCTAAACATATTAGAGTCGCAGCTAAACATTCAACAAAATAAGGGTTCACAGACCCGAGTGTCTGAGCACCAACAAAACAAGTAGGTATAGTAGTCTAGTGCTATATACATCAAACTATCCAAAACATCAGTCATAAATGCATAGGGTACCAAGACCTACATACTAGGAACTAGGAATAAGAAATACTATCTATCTAGCTCCTCAAGGCGTGCTCTCAACAAAACATTACTTCATACCTGAAAGGGGTTATCAAGAAAAATAAGGAAAACAACACGTTAGCAATTAATGCTAAGTATAAACCACTCAGCCCCGTAACATAAGTATAGATATATAAATTAGGAAAATAGTTTGTTTGTCATCAATCATATCACATAGGATCACAGAGCTGTGAATCAAGAAATCAATAGAACAGATATAGGTAAGCCCCCCCCCCCCCCCCCTAACTAAAAAAAGCTCCGATTAACTCCCCTAAACCGGTAAAAAACTCTAATTAAGTCCAATGCTAACCAACCAAGGCGGTAATAACTTTCCTGTCAGCCCATGTGGATTAATATTTCATCTTCTATCCTAACTGGAATTACTTATTATAATATATATATATATATATATATATATATATATATATATATATATATATATTATAAAATATATTAATGTTCTACAAAGTGAATCGCAGTAAAAACCGTATCATTCTTCTCTCTCTTCAGGTTCATCGCTCTCTTAAATAAACCTAACATCTTCACGCCCTTTTTCACCTGCTATTCTTCTTTGGATTGTGGAGTCGCTTGCTCGCTCAACCACAAATGTCTTCTTCCTGCCGGAGTACGTGCCATTTTTGTCAACTTCTTCAAGGCCAAATCTCCATAATGAACCTGCCATGTATTGTCGTTGTGGGTTGAAAGTTCCATTGTGTCATTCACGGGATAGTGAAAAAAAAAAATTGGGTGCCAAAGATATAAAGTTTGTATTTTTTTCTATATAGTATACGAATTATGTGGTGTCATGAATGTATTTTTGAATTCATATGCATTGTTAAATCAGATGGTGTATTTTTCAAATGATATTCAAAGTTATATCAGTGAGTGGGAAAGGAAAAAAATTGGCTTGTGTTTTTAATTCAATTGTGTAAAAACTTGGCTTGTGAAAAAATTAGGTGTATTTTAATTCAGTGTATTTTTAATTCATTTGTGGATTTGAATTTATATCATTTTTATTTTACAGGATAGAGGATGTGGCTTTTTTTGTTTAGAAAGAAGACATATTGGCTAAAGATGTTGAAGTTTTGAATGATGCAAGTATTCAATCAGTTCATGAGTTGAAAAGTTTGATATTGGAATTGAAAGATGAACTCAAACACCTACGAAGGGATTTGGAAGTTCAATCCGCAGAAATAAAAAAATTGAAGAGAATGTGAGTGATTTTTATTGTAATAGTTGTAGGAATCTACTTATTGAGTAATTTCCAACACAATACTGTTAATTTTGAATATGTTCCTATGTTGAAGTAAGGTTAATTGTATGGGTTTATAGATTACAATGAAAACTTGATGCTTGTTCTTATTCTTATAATAAGTTTGAATGGATTTGAGTTCTATTTATTGAGATGGTAAAGTTTTCTTTTAGAATTATGATGATTGTAATTAGAAATTAGTATGATGAAATCATATTGTAATTATAAATCAGTTTGAGCATTATTATGAAGATTGTAATTAGAAAATGCATATGATATCTACCAAACCAATAATTAGAAAATGCATATGATGCAGCAGCAACCATTTGATAAAAATCATAACTTTCATATGTAGCAACCATTATGAACTGCAGCAAAAACCATTAGAAAACAGCATCAACCATTAGAAAATGCATATGATGCAGCAGTAGCAACCATTGGAGCCAAAACAAATCAGTATAAGATGCAGCAGTTAGAGTTGTCAATGTGGGCTGGCGGGGTGGGGCCCGCCAAAGCCCGCATTTTGGCGGGGCAGGCTAAAAAGCCCGCCAAGAATACGGGCCTAGGTAGGGGCAGCCCACCCCGCCCCCTAGGCCCGCGGGCCCCGCCAAAGCCCGCCTTTTTTTTTTTTTTTATCATGTGTCCTTATAATCTAAACTCTAATGTGACTATGTTAATAACTTAATTGCTATCTACTTAAAACACTTATTCATAAGAAAATAACATAAATTCGTTCATCACATCATGACAACAATGACACCAATAGGGGTAAGTATAATTACGGAAAAACCGACACTATTAGGGATAAGGCAAAAAAAAATTCGATTATTCGGCTATTCGGTTATGAAGGTGTAATAACCGCGGTCACCGAATAACCGACACTATTATTTATATAATTATATTATATTATATATATATATATATATATATATATATATATATATATATATATATATATATATATATATATATATATATATAACTAAAAAATATAGAAAGGCGGGCTCCGCGCCCGCAAAAGCCCGTTTTTTAAACGGGCTTAAAAAACACAAACCCCCACCCTGCCTTTTTGGCGGGCGGGGCTGGAAAGCCCGGCGGGCTAAGCCCATTTTGACGGCTCTAGCAGCAGTAGAGTCAGAGTTCATTAAAATCATTTGATAAAAACCATAACTTTCATACATTGGCAACCATCCACTACAAAAAGTCAGAGTTCACTTCAAACCAACAAATTACATGCCAGTTCTACAAGAACCATTTGACACTGTTAAGCAAAAACCATTTAACAAAAAACATCAATTTCACAAGTTATACTATTTTGCCCAACAAAAATCATTTGACAGCTTTATGTCTTGCTCCTTCAAAATCATTTGCAACTAGTTCATCTTCAAGATCATTCCCCTGCTACTTGGCCAGGCTATAATAAAAACCAAAAATAGAGTTTCAATAGCTAATATGGTAAAAAATGAATATAAGTTATAATAACAATTACATACCAAAGCATTTCTAAGCATGAACACATCAAAAGCTCATAATTTCTACTCATTTTTACTCAAAACTAGGCTTCACAGAGCCAAATCCAAAGAGGAATCCATGGGGTTATACCTCTTGTAGACTAGATTTCTTGCTTGGATCTCTTCTTCCTCTTGGTCTAGCTTGAGCCTCCTTCACCACTAGGTTGAAGCTTTTCTCCTTGGATGTTGGCAGACAAATGTGAGGAAGAAGCAATGAAAATGAGATCAGGAAAATGTGATGGAATTAACAGGGCGTTTGGTTGAATGGATTTTAAATTCCCTTCCCACTTAATTCTCACATAATTCCAAAGGCCATTAAATTCCGTAGTTTGGTTGGAGGGAATTGCAATTCCCCCATTTTCATGGAATTAAAATCCCATGTCCCCCCTGGTATTTTAATTCCTGAGAAAAAAAGACAGTGATGAGTCAAAATTACCCCTTCCTTTTTTAATCTAAAATTAATGTCTAACAACAATAATGGACATTTTTTACTTTATACTACTTATTCCCTTTCAATTCCCATGTATACCAAACATTGGAATTGAAATTCTCAGTAATTCTATTCCTGTCAACCAAACGCTGGAATTTAAATTTCCACTTTATTCCCAGTAATTCAACTCCCATGGAATTACAATTCTTTTCCCACATAATTCCACCCCTCCAACCAAACGCCCTGTAAGGGTTTATATAAAGTTCAAAACCCTAGGATGATACACAATGATTGGTTGAGGGCAAAGGGGTAATTTCCCCAAGCTAAAAGATGACTTTACAAGGAATTTTTGGATGTCTTGTGGTCTACCATGCATCATGAACCATAGACTAAAAGTGATATTTCTTTATTACTTTGGGGTGGAAAGTGAATTTTCCCAAAAGCTAAATAGATGAACACTTGTTCAAAATCCCCTTTTTAATTCTCCCAGTCTCACTCGGGTAAAATTCTCGATTTAAATCTTGGTACGCAAAGAACCCGAAAACTTTGAAATTTTCGAATGAAATTCATTTCTTTGGTGTTGAATTAACTTTAAAATGGAACAAAAATTATTTTATTCAAACACCGATTGCTCGCAAAAATTTTTAATGGAGTGAAAAAGCTACTTTAGGATTTCTTAACACTGGATTTATAAAATGAAATTTTGGGTTGTTACACCTAGGGGCGCCTAACATTTTTTGCAACATTGATAAAAAATGATCCATAATTGACTAAAATAGAAAAGAAAATGGTCAGATTATTGCATTTTAATTTTTCACAATAATATACATAGTAAAATACATCAAATCACAATTATGTCATAAATCTTTCACAATTTTAAACAATAGAATGGAAATATTTCAATAATAATATTCTACACCATCAAATAAAGGCAAATTAAAAATGAAAAAAGAAATATTTCAATAATAATATTCTACATCATCAATAGTAAAAGTAAATTAAAAATGAAACGGAAATATTTCAATAATAATATTATACATCATCAATTAAAAATGGAACGTAAATTAGGTAAAAATATCACTACATATGATATTCTAATTGACTAAAAAAATTAAAAAAAAATAATTGGCTGAAAATGAATCTGATATTACTAATTCACTTAAAATATAAAAGGATCACTAATTGACTAATATTCTACCATTATATATTTTCATCCGGGTCATCCATCCTGATGGATTGAAGGTGTTAACTCTAGACGATGATGGACAAGATTGTGTTGCTACTACCAATGTCGTCTACAAAGAGGTTTCAATAATGTGTAAATAAAATCGTTGATATTATTTTTTTTAAATGACAAAATTGCTATATATCTAGACAATATATATTGAGGCACTTTCACAAGTATGGTTACAGGATTGAGGCAATAAAAAGGGAGATGAATAGTTTGAGAGGACAGATGAACCCACTTTCTTTAGGGCGCTTCAGGCAGCTAGATGGGCAGTTGAATACCGTCTTGTTGCAGGAGGAGTCTTTCTGGAAGCAACGGGCTAAGCAGCACTGGCTGCAAGGGGCGGATCGAAACACGAAGTTCTTTCATCAGTATGCCACGAACCGTAAACGAAAGAACTACATTGTGAGGCTTAATGATGGGAATGGAGTATGAAAGGAGGGTGATGGGCTCGTCTCTTTGGTAACAGAGTATTATAAGCAGATCTTCCAGACTAATGGAGATATGGGAACTTTCCAGGTAGATACTCTGTCCCCTTGTGTCACTCGGGCACAGAATGATGATTTGCTACGTCCTTTTGAACCCGTGGAAGTCAAGGATGCTCTGTTTGCCATGGGTAAAGATAAATCGGCAGGACCGGATGGAATGAATCCGGGTTTCTATCAGGCTTTCTGGGATCTTATTGGTAAGGATTTTACAGATTTTGTTCTTTCATGTTTATCTCAATCCTCTTTTCCCCCTGATTTGAATGATGCCAATATTGTCCTGGTCCCGAAGAAGGCTTCCCCTGAGCTGGTTACTGATTTGAGGCCTATTGCTTTATGCAATGTTGTGTATAAGGTAATGGCTAAGATGATAGCTAACCGTATGAAGCCCCTCTTGGATGGTATAGTCTCAGAGTCGCAGAGTGCTTTTCTTCCAGGTAGGCTTATTTCAGATAACATTCTCATTGCTTCTGAGGTAGGTCACTATCTGAGAAGGAAACAGTTGGGCCAAGTGGGATGGGCAGCCCTCAAGTTAGATATGGCCAAAGCTTATGACCGTATGGAATGGAGGTTTGTGGAACGTATGTTGTTGGGGCTTGGTTTTGATGTAAGATGGGTAAATTTGATCATGTTATGTGTACGGACAGTCAGGTATAGGGTCCTGGTGAATGGGAAGCCTAGTGAGGAGATCTTGCCCACGAGGGGATTAAGGCAGGGTGACCCCCTATCACCCTATCTTTTTATCATTTGTGCGGAGGGCTTGTCTTTATTATTGCAGGATGCCCAGGCTAAAGGACGGATACATGGCTGCAGAGTGGCTCGTGGGGCCCCTCCCATCTCTCATCTTTTCTTTGCAGATGACAGCCTATTGTTCTTCAAGGCTAACATGCAGGAAACTATGGAAGTGAAGCGTTGTTTGGAAATTTATGAGCAGTACTAACTGATCAGGTGGCACAGCATCCGGATCTTATGGTTGCTGATCTTTTAGATCATGAACAGAGGAAATGGAACCATGTCTTAATTTCTCAGTTGTTTGATCCCAGGGATGCTGAATTAATTTTACAAATCCCTGTGAGCATTAATTTCAAGGATGACTGGTTTTGGAATGGGGATATCAGGGGACAATATTCGGTTAAAGATGGCTATAGATGCCAGGGTGAGTTGACCAACACCCCAAAAGCAGTTTGGAATAACATTTGGAAGCTTATTAGGGTCCCTCCCAAGTGGAGGATTTTTCTATGGAAGGCCCTATCTAATATTTTGCCAACTATTACCAACTTGGTTAGAAGAAGGGTAGAAATTCCTAATATTTGCCCAGCTTGTGGAGATTGTGAGGAGGATGTTATGCATATTTTATGCACTTGTGTATATGCTAGACGTGTGTGGAATGTTTCACGTCTTCTAATCCCTAATGTTGATAATTATGATTTTATGCAGTGGGTGGAGGCTTGGTTAGGATGCTCAGCAACATCTGCTGGGTTCCTAAAAGAACAAATTTGCGGAATACTCTACGAAATTTGGAGATCCCGGAATATGGCTGTTTGGGATTCGTTTCTACCGACCCCTACGCATCTGTGTCACACATTTCATGGTTATTGGTTTGCCTACTCCACAAGCTACTCACCGATTGCGCCTGCTGTACCCCCAGCTGTTCCCCAACTTCCAACTGTCCAAGCACTGCCGGCTACGCTTCAACCTGCTGCTGTTCTGCCGGTAGCTTTGGAGACGCCGCTGCCGCCTGGAGGTATATATTGCTTCACTGACGCAGGTTTTCACGGTGCATCCCCATCTTATGGTTTTTTCGCATGCAACGCACACGGTGGATTGGAGGCAGCTGCAAACGAACCTCTTATATGTCCGAATGATCCCCTTTTAGCTGAAGCAATGGCGGTACGTGAGGCCCTATCGTGGCTACGGGACCACGGTTTTCAGAATGTTGCGGTTTATTCAGACTGTGCGGTCCTAGTTTCTTCCTTCCGCGATGTGACGACCTATCGTTCGTACCTAGGAATTATTTTGGATTCATGTTTACAGTTGTTTCGTTCTTTTCATTCTTGCTCCATTAAATTTGTACGCAGAGATGCCAATACGGTAGCTCATGCCTTAGCAAAACATAGCAGTGCGATTGACTCTCATTCTGTCTGGAGGGACTATCTTCCTTCCTTTGTCTCGCTTACAGTTTAATGCAATCCGATTCCATACAAATGAATTAAGATAGCAATTTATTCATATAATTGAGTTGCTAGAGAACGAGCACATTTGCCGAATTTATAAAAAAATACTAAACAATCATAAATAAAATCTCCAAAGTTACAGCACCGCATGCATACATCTACACATTAGCTATAAATTTGAGCAATTATTTGCTTAAATTCAAGCAATGATAATATCAAAACACATAAATGATCCAAACTGTATCTTCAATTACACTACATAATATTTGGTGTTCTAATTTAAATAATTATATATCGATCCAAATATTTTTAATATATTACAACAAATCCATTCCGTGTATCGCACAGGCAAAAATAATAGTTTGTTTATAATAATCAAATAAATCACCAATCTTTTATGAATTGTCTCAGTAATTTCAATAGAACTCTTTTACGGATTACGAATTGTCCCAATAATTTCAATATTTACTGATTACTAAGACAATTTGTAAAAGATGGATGGTTAATTAATTAATTTATTTATTTATTTTTTGAAAATATGGATGATTTATTTAATCATTATAAATAAATTTTAAAAAAGCTAATATTGAAATTACTCAATTGTCTCTTTATTTAACACCAATTTGACGGAATAACAAATGGAGGATTACATTGAGCAAAAACAAAAAAGTATGGAATTACATTAGGTCACCAAAGTCGTTTAAAATGAAATTGAGAAAAACCACTATAGTCGATAACCATTTTGGATATTAACCCGATAGCCTTATTATGTTTACTATTCACTAATCAAATCAATTACTCTGTATTTCCTTTTTTTTTTTGCCTTTTTAAAATATGTTTAAATTTAATTTTGTGTCTAACAGTATTTTTAATGTAGTTTCTAAATAAATACATTTTATAGACCAATATTAACTTTAATATTATGAAAAATTAAGTTAAAAATAACTTTAATTAAGTCTTGTTAACCGAATCACACACATAAAATGAGACAGATGATTTTGTGAAAGTTAAAACAAATATTTCATAGTAAGAATTAGAATCAACACACACACATATGTATGTATATAGAATTAGGTTCAAATGCGATATCTAATCAAAATCAACAACATATATTGAACACAGATTAAAAAAAAGCAGTGAAAATTTAATTCTTATGCATCTAAGTCAATTTTAAGGTACGTTATTTTTCTTCTTAAGGTGCGTGATTTTTGTGCTCAAGGTACGTGATTTTTGTGCTGTGTGCTTAAGATGCGCCAATTGTTGAACTTAAGATGTGAGTAAAACTCAAATTGGAGAAAAATATAGTCCTTGGGTTCCTTTTATTGGGACTATTTTTCTATTTATTTTTGTTTCTAATTGGTCAGGGGCTCTTTTACCAATGATATAAATACTATTGTTGCTTTGGCTTTACTCACGTCATTGGCATATTTCTATGCGGGTCTTCCAAAAAAGGATTAGATTATTTTGGGAAATATATTCAACCAACTCCGATCCTTTTACCCATTAACATCTTAGAAGATTTCACAAAGGCCCTGTTTGGTAAAATGGTTGTTAGCTGATAGCTGTTTGTTGCTAGCTGATTGTGTTAATTAGAGGGTATAAATAGGTGATAACATTAGCTGATTGTAGAAAAGTGTTTGGTAAATTAGCTATTAGCTAATAGTTATTTGGTATAATTTTTTTTTTTCAAAAAGCTAATTGAAAAAGTTGCTTGGAGTAACTTTTTGAATTTAGCCTTTTGGAGTTGCAAAAAGCTAATCAACCAAACATTTATATTGGCCCTGTTTGGTAAAATGGCTGTTAGCTGATAGCTGTTTGTTGTTAGCTAATTGGGTTAATTAAAGGGTATAAATAGTTGATAAAATTAGATGATTGTAGAAAAGTGTTTGGTAAATTAGCTGTTAGCTGATAGCTGTTTGGTATAGTTTCTTTTTCTCAAAAAGCTAATTGAAAAAGTTGCTTGGAGTAGCTTTTTGAATTTTAGCCTTTTGGAGTTGCAAAAAGCTAATTAACCAAACATTTCTATTGATATTTTAACTAAATCAAACAATTAATAGTGGTCAAATAAGCTAAAATTGGCCTATAGGCCAATTTTTTACCAAATAGGGCCATTGATATTTTAACTAAATCAAACAATTAATAGTGGTCAAATAAGCCAAAATTAGCATATAAGCCAATTTTTTACCAAACAGGGCCAAAGCCTTTATCGCTTAGTTTTCGACTTTTCGAGAATATCTTAGCTAATTAATTAGTAGTTGTTGTTTAAAAACTTTAGATGCATGATTTTTCTTCTTAAGGTGCATAATTTGTATTTTTAAGTGCATCAATTGTTAAAATTTAAAGTGCGTCAACCTAAAGGGCGTAATTTTCCATCTTAAAGTGCGTCAGCCTAAAGTGCGTAATTTAAAGTGTGTTTTCACACACACACACACACACACACACACACACACACACACACACATATATATATATATATATATATATATATATATATATATATATATATATATATATATGTTGTGTACTTGCACTTGCGTCTTAAAACTATACAATGTTTATGTTATGTATTGTTTAAAGGAACGGTTATCGGTAAAAGAAATGCTGAAAAGCCTGCCCAACTAGTGACAGAAGAACGTGCATCATTTTTGAAAAAACTCATTATTGAAAACTAAAATGCCTTTGTAATTTGTATTTAATGATATTTAAACTATTTTTTGATAAAGAATTAAAAATAATAATGCCACAATAATATTAAGACAAAAAATGGATGTTCTTATAAAAAAACTTAGGGGACGCTTGGTTCACTATAAGTGTTATATTACTTTAGATAATGTTGAATTGTTAAAAATGTTAAATTACTATTAATATAAAGTTCATGTGTTTGGTTTAAAATTGAGGTATGTAATATAAATCTATTTAGTTGAAGAGTTATTTTTTTATAGTATTGTATAATGATTATTTTTACTTAAATACTGTTAAACCTATTTTTATATATTTTAATATTTAAAATGAAAATTAAAATAAAAAAATAAGACAATGATAAAAGTATAGAAGAAAATGATTTAAAATTAATTAACTAAGAGTTTGAATTAAAATGAAAAAAATTAACAATAAGACAAGGGAATGTGAGAATATCTAAGAAATGGGAGGGTATCTCACATTTCCTTACAATAGCTAAAAACCTTATGTCGAAGTTATGTTACATTCTCAAGAGAAAATTGCATAACTTAACCAAACATGAGAATATTATATTACCGAGCAAATATAACCTCGATTATCTTATATAACTTGAACCAAACGCCCAAGTAGACAGTCACCTATAAATCTAAGACCAAAAATGGAATTAACTCTAATAACTCAACCAAACATATTAATATCACATACACTAATATTAACTAAACACAATTCCAATACAACATCCCAATAACCTAGCATTCCGAACTAAACGCCCCCAAGTTCTTGATGATAACCATTAACCAAATAAGGTGGGAAACGGACCTAATCCCAGTTCTGGAATTTGTAGTAGAACAAGGATTAGTTGTAGATTTCCTTTCCAGGAAAATTTTAGTAAAATGTTCTTTTAAACATCAGTCAAAAATCATTTTTTTCAAAGAATAGAAATACACCGTAAAATTAACTAATAGCAATAAATCAATACTACGGGAAACAAAAACTATATTTTTATAATGCCTCAAAATCCTAACCTGCCTTCACGTTGCCCAATTCCCGCTTGAACTTGCATATTGTTCTCAGGGAGCAGAAAGACTTAGAATACAATCCTAGTACAGTCATGATTGTTCCTTGCCTGCTATTTCAAGGCATCACAAAATCAATATTTTACTTCTCAATTGCTTTAAAAAAAAAAAAAAAAGCTTCCTAGTTGTGATTGAAAGGATAGAACTCACTCTCGGAATCTGTTTTCGAGGTATTTTGAGGTGCCTTCCTGTTCGATGCCTCCGCTGAAAAATTATTATGCAAACTCAATTTTCAAGAAATGAAGTGAAATCTAGTACACAATATTGTACACGGCCAGTCTAGAAATCTACATGAAGCTGAATAATATATTTGAGTAGATTCATGGGTATGAAACCATGCAATAAAGAAATGGGGTGATTTATACTCCATTGATCATGTAAACAATTAGTGAAGAGATTTGAAAATAAAGAGCAGCAACAATAATAATATAGTAATTAGCCAACAAGACACCGGTAAAGCTAGGATACAAACTATAAGCTAGGTGAAGGAAACTACAGAATGAAAAGATGCCACAGAAGAAATTATAAAAACAATTAAATAACATCATATCGTATTCCTTGACAGATCAAAACATGAACTACAGAAACCTAATAGCCAATGAAAGTGCAAAGCAACATATTAAAAAAAAAAAAATCAAGCAAATATAACTCCAAACTTAGTCACATCTAGATCAATGAATCTGGAACAGCACTCAAGGCCAGGGTGTGATGTATTTTCTGATTTTTCTCCATACAAAATGGAGACATGCCTACATAGATTCAGAAATATTGGACAGTATGTAATATCATCAATTTTTTAACAAAAGGACTATTAATAAAGAAATCTCGATATTCATATTTGGGATCAACAACAAATATCAGAAAAACCATTTGAAAACTCACCTTTGAATTTACTTTTCTTTTTTGCTCTCCTCCTCTTCCTCTCTGCTTGTGTCAGCTCTGCTTCTTCTTTAATATCTCCTTTGCCAATAAAAACTTCCTCAGGAGCCAGCATAGCAGCATCAGAGGTAGCCACTGGTGCAATCTGCCATGCAAACAATGCCATGAAATGACACAACAAATTTGAAACAATGCAAGTATGATAACCTATGAGATGAGGAAAAAATTTTAAGTACAAAGCAATACATTACCTCTTCCATTGCAAGGGCAGGGACACTTGCTTGAATAGACATATCTTCTATGACCTGTTTGAGTTGATACATAGAGATCCATATAAACTGCATCATAGTCCATATACAACAAATTATTGCCAAAT